TCATTATTTTTCAAATAGCAGAATGAATATAGTGCTATTTCTTATGTAATTAAAATATATCTTTTAGCTGATGTTCATTCAATATTTTTAGCCTGCTGACTCATTACAGTTGCCATAGTGACATTTATGGAGCAGTCATATGTTGTAATACATTTAAGGGCTATCAATGGACTTTGACTAGCACAAGAAGAGAATTCACTGAAACCCAAAGTGCTTCAAATGACATTGTAAAAATGGGACAAGGATTGTCCCACAGTAGAATACCTCTGCGTGCACACACTGAGTGATAGGTATGGGCTTCAGGGAGCTGTTCATTCTGCTCCTGTCTCCAGCACAATGGAGGCTAAACTGCAATAGGTACCTGCAATTTTAGTACTAATGTAACTTACCCAAGGCTGCCCATTTCCCCAGGCTTCAGCTAGTTTAGCTGTCAAGTGAAAATAATGTATGGCACTCGACCTTGTCATCATTCTTTTCCTACCTCTCCCCTGGGTACCCACGGCTGTTCAGAATCAAATGCTGGAGACTGTCAGAAATACAAAGTTTGAACTCCAGGATGGACCTGACCAGAAAGCAAATCCTGTTTTTGACTTCATATGGTAAGAGATGTTTCTCTGCTCAGCCTCCAGTCAGGACTGGGTTTGGCCTGAAGCTCTATAAAGAGCCGACGCCTGCCATCCTGGGGTGAGGGTCCCTGCAGAAGATGAACGATTGCAGCCACCCAGCACACATGAGATGGTTTGCTTTCAGAATTTCCTTTGAGCTTACCACCTGACCAAACAGTGCTGCCACCACCATCGTCTGTGAACCATTAACAGGCAGAAAGTGGTGTGGGGCCAACTGCCCCGTGTCGGTACAGACTCTCTCTTCTTTGAAGATTAAAGTGAGGACACTACACTACTAATTCAAACAATCATGAGGTTCCTTTCCTTTCATTTGATTTGAGTATTTCACTGTCACTTTAAATTAAAAAAAAAAAGACATGTTGAGAAATGTGAGGAATGGGCATATTTTCTCATGATTTTCTGGTGAATTATTTTCTCTATATTAAGAGAAAGTTAAAAAGTTTTAAAAAACTGAAATTACTTTTAGGGAGAAAAGGAGAAGTTATGGAACATGGGTCCATATTTTTTAAAAAAATAATCACCTGGAATTTTATAAAAGCAAAGAATACACACATTATCCTTGTGTTTATATTACAAAGCAAGCAATTTAAAACATTCAATACATATTTTCAGAAGTGTCCTTCTTTTAAATCTTGCATTGCAGCCAAAGAATGCTAATGGTTACCAAATTGCTTTTGGCTGAGTTGCTTAACCCTTAAGAAAAAGAAAAAGAATAAAGGGGGAAAAGAAGTGTGGCAGGATGTGATTGCAGCATATGATAGCTGTGAACCCCCAACCCTGAGCAGATGGTAACTGATCTGAGAATTGCAGTAGGAGGTCACAGAGAGCATTCTTCTGCTTTGGGTTAAGTACATTATGTGGCAATGAGGGATTGTTTCCATGGCTCCTAATGGACAGCCACCAGCTTTGCTAAGAGAGAAGTGAGGTTACAGATTACATCCTGACTTATCCTTGAGCTGTTTAGACTCTTCCTCTGTGCGTCCCAGTTGCTGTTATTTTTTTTTTCCAGAGTTGGTCATCTTAGCAACCAAGCATTTTGTCTCAAGAAGTAGGCTTTTCTCCATGCTCTGCAAACAAGCAATGGGATATCTTGCTGTGTGCACTGAGAAGGGGTGACATGGAGCATGGCTGTCCTCCTGTCACTAACAGTGATCAGCTTTCCCTACCTACACTGAGCTGCTCATGCTGAGTAATCTGGATGTTTGTGAGCACACAATCCTGAGTGGTTCATTCCAGTTCCTTTGTAAAGAGTGGTGTCCCAAAGCTTAGATAATGACTCCATAACTGGATAAGTGGTGTCACGTATGGTGGATTGCTTGTTTTCTTGTTTCTTTATAGGAAACATATGGCAATGTTTATACAAGAGTAGAAAACAATAGCACCCTGCTATCAAGTTAGCAGCAGCTAATGGAACCATATATGGATGGAAATCAAGCATCTCTATCTACACCAGGGACTCTGGTTTGCTGGTGTCTGTACACATCCTGTTTTATTTGGTTTGAAGGGAAGTTTTATTGTTTTAGGCTTTGATTCCTAATTGGAAGGAAATTATGTAGCAAGATGTTTTATTTGTGTTTTCACTCCTCTCTGTGCTTATTTAAATTACTTTATTAGCAGAAATAATAAATTCTGAGTATACTGAATTGTGATTGTATAAAAATTAAAATATATTCATTTGTTTGACTGTACTCTTTGTATCTCTGACTGAAAGACCTGTGGCTTGAAAATTAGAAGTGGCCATCTGGAGATGGGACACAAAGTGATGAAAGGCAGAACTGGGCTGTATTCGTACCACACACTTTTCTCTATGGCTAGCCAGGTAACTTTGAGGAAGTTTGGTAAGCTGACTCAGCCTCAGAGGCTTGTATGCACTTGTACGAAAACTATACTAGCTTATCTTAGCAGCCCATGGGATGAGTGGTAAAGCATTCCCTACAAAGCCTGGCTTGGAGGAAGTGCTGCACACCTATTTCCTTTCATCATAATCAGTGAACAGGACACGTTACCCTGGCACCATCCTTGACAATCTGAGTTGCTCAATACTAAAAAGAGAAAAACCAGTAAAACCAGTGATGTTGCTGTTTATCAAATGTCCCATATACCTAGGTCCAAACTGCAGCTTCTCCAGTCTCTATGGACTAGGTGTGATTTACCATCCCCATTTCATGGAAGAATAAACTGGGAGTTTACATCAAAAGGAAAGGCACACAGCTAAAGATTGTTAAGCATGGGGATCCAACTCAGACTGGATAATTCCAAAGCCTAGGCTCTTCATCTCTCCTCGTCACAACTCGTGCATCTCTAGAAGCTCCTTTGTTTACAGTATGTTTTGAGCACCCCATCCATCCTGCCATTGCACAGTGACAGTGCAAAGTCCCTGTCTCTGGGATTTCTACTCTTTCGCAATTCAAGAAACTGAGAAAGCACTTAGGAGATGTGTTAGAAGCCCTGGTAAGTTAGATTCATGCAACCACTTTTACTTTGGTTTTAAAAAGGCTACAAGTTCATACTCAAACTTAGGTAAAAGCATTTGTCACATCCTGAAGACAGAGAAGGCAAGGTTCAAGGTGTGTTGACATAAGGAGAGATGGGGTGACTAGTCATTCTCCTTGGTAGTCAGGAGTGCCAGTTGCTGTATAAGGAATAAAATATAATGATCCCACACTTCTATTCAGTGTCAGGTATGGCCACTAAACTGCCAACTAGCTCCACTTTTAACCTAAGCAGCATGTAGTTAAGAGTGTTTCACCTGCCTTTATTGTTGAAAACACAGCATCTGTCTGCAACTTGGGATCCTTCACATATAAGATTGCCCAATTATATCTTCATTTACAAGATATATTATAGTTTTACTTTTCTCCTTCCTACAGTGTTTGGAGTAGAGGTAGAACAGAGGAAAATATTAAGAATGCCAGATTACACATCTATCTGCTGACCTTGCATCAATATTCAGTTATATGAGCCCTTCATATAGGGTATAAGTATGAATATGCTGCACATTAGTAATTCAAATGATGGCATCAATTGGCAGTAGCTACAGCTGAGAGCAAAGATAGCTGCAGTTATTATAACTACCTTGGACCTTTCACTGAAAATTAAATGAAGACACAGCTATGAGTAGGATCCTGCTTAGTTAACCTCATTTTTTAAAAAACAGTATTACTTGTTTTAGAATTGTGTGCAGTGTCTTTTGATCATATTCACCCCTCCCAAACTCTTTTCAGATCCATCACCCCTAACTTTGTGTCTTCTGTTTTTCTCCATCAAGACTAATTTGTGCTGCCCATATATGCTTGAATGTGGAGCCTTCCACAGGAGCGTGGTCAGCGCACTAGGGGCTGTACCCCCACAGAAAACTGACCGTTTCTTTTCCAGCAGTTCACAATTGCCAATCACTCCAAGCTAGAGGTAGAATTTTGTGCCTAACCCCTCATTTGTGCTGAGATTTGATCTGACTTGAGCTTACACATGTCACAACAGCTGTGTGTTTTTGTGTACTGCTACCCTGCTCTGTCCAGAAGACACTGTCTCCTGTAGTCATCCACCACCTCTAGCTCTTAGAGATTTTCTGCCCCTTCTTTGGCAAAACCTCTAACTTTTGGGAGGATGAGGTGCGGAATATTCAAGTTAGGACTGAAAATTCTGAAATATTTTATCTTCTGCTCCTGGCCCGTTGCTGCTTTCTGTGTTAATCTCCATCCAGTGCGAATAGAAGCTTCTTTGACGAGGAGTGAAAGATGCATTAATCTATGGGTATAACGATAAGTCATTAGAAGTCAGTCTAATACCATGTCCATTTAACAGCATAATAGTATTAGTTTCTTCCCTAGAACTGTGACTTGTCTAGCCATAGGTTCTTGGCCTGATAACGGCACCAAGCCTGGGTTTCATCTTCTGGAGCAGGACTTAAATCCAACCAGAAGGTGAAAATGGCTGGTTATTCTCATGACATTGTGTCACAGTTGCACCAGTGAGCATGTCTTGCTAGAGCAACTATTCTTTAGCTTACAAGGTACATAGCTGGGCAAGATGGATGATTCCTTTACTTCTCCTGCAGAGTACATAGCACATTCTAATACAGTCGTGCCATAAGCAAAGTGGTTCAAAAACTATTATTGCTATAAAAATAATGTGCAGTTCTATTATATTCCCTCCATTACATTTTTTTTGTAACTTTCCAGTTAACTCTTTGGTTTGGCAAACCCCAGGATGGGAAATTGTACCTGTTAGAACTATCAGGAAATACACAGAGTAGATATTGATCAGGGCAGAGCAATATTATTTTGATAACAATTTGTTAGGAGGTGAATTATTTGATAGCACAGAAGCAGTAGATGGGAATCAAACATTTATCTCTTTTTAAATTTTATTTAGGCAAATGTTTCCAACTATAGTCTGGTGATGGAGTCTGACTCTGGAACCTACTTACCCACTGGGCTGCAGTTCACCGGCAGTGACAAGGCCAGGGCTATCATGAAGGAGATCATGAGTCTGCTGCAGCCCCTCAATGTCACCAACGTCTTTAGTGATGGAGAAGGAACAGATATTAACTTCTGGATCCAAGCTGGAGTGCCTGGTAAGACCAAAAGTGAAGATGATGTCCTGCATGCTGTCACCAGTTCAAATAAAATCTCTATTTAAATGTCCCAGTAGTTACTGGCAGACCACGCATGCACATCCTGTGTCTTTGTCACTGAGGTCTACTCTGGTTATTCCCACAGTTGGGATAATGGTACGTACTCTGCATTTGCTTCTCCTCTGCTCTTCCCTCTCCAAGATCTGCAGTGAATGATTCCAGAATTCAGCCTAATCTGCTGTTGATTTTGATTTGTTTTTAAGGATATGTTTGATGATTTCACAACCAAACTTTGAGAAATAAAGTAGAAGGCAGTCAGTGCTGACAACTCCTTCTGTTCTAGCCTCTACTAGGGACCCTCACTGACTTTGATGTGCTATACCCACACACTGTTGTATCTGAACTGTTACAATGAAAGAGTCACTCTTTGAGGGTGGGATGCTTCCTTATAATTGTGTTTGATAAGAGTTCAGACATAGGGCTGAGAAGATGGCTCAGTGGGAAAAGTCACCTGCTATCGGGATTTCAAACATGAGTTTGATCTCCAGGACCCAGATGGTAGAAGGGAGAACTAACTCTCATCTCTGACTTTGACAGGAACACTATAGCACAAGCATGACCACACACACATACACACACACACACCATAGATTGGGCATAAACTGACTTACCCTGATTGGTGATTTGTGGTATGACTCTCCTAAACAGAACTCTTAGGCCAGGGATAGAAATGAAATTATGAAATGCAAATACACCTAGGAGTTATAGGAACAGAGATGGGAACAGATTTCAAGAATATAAATTTGTGCTGCTATACAAATTTGCCCAAGACCACCCATGCAAAGACTTATTGGTATTGTTTATGAACCTACATTGTGCCTCCAATACCATTATATCCACAATAAAAAGGACTATCCAGATATCCATCTGCAAATTGTTCTGCATTTGCATTACATAAATGGAAAGCCTAGCCTTTTAGCTATTTAACATTACTGTTTCCAGAACTCTCACATGACATATGTACAAAGATAGGCTCTCCAGGTCCACTTCTGCCACTGTGTTTCCTGCTTACAAACAGATTTCACCAACAGCTACACAGATTCACATTTTAAAGAAAGTCTGTTCTTGAGATATTGTGGATTTTAAAGTCATGTTTTAGGTTTGGAAATTTACACTAATATCCATAACTAAAAATTAGGTCTTTTCTTTGTTATAATGGAAGATTCAAATTCTGTCCATTTGTCCTGTGCATATTTTAACAAAAACTTCAAATTCTCTGAAATCCATATTTCCATTTAGAATGGTGCACAATTATTCGACATATCCAAAACATTATATATATGATCTGTGGATGTCAAAATATAGGGACGAAAGCTTGTGCTTTGAGTGGCATGGGATCGTTTGATCAAATTTTGCATTTTATCACTGAGCCTTCTTTTGGGAATCACTAAGTCAGCTGCTGTGAGGAAAAGGCTAGTGGGTCGGAGTGAAGTGGACTGGAGACTGACCAGCAGTGGCCAAAGAGGCAGGAGGAGCTAAAATCTACAGCAGAATTGAGGAATAAAAACCTTATACCACCCCCTGCACCAATTTGCTTTGCTGTGTTTGATCACAAGAGCCTGTCACCTTATTCCTTCCCATGTCTATGTCCCATAGGACTTGATCTGCATAAAATGAACAGGTAGATTGATTACCATCATGTAAGGTAATGAGTTACCATCCCTCTTGGCCTCAGCAGATCAGGTTTGATTTTTCACACAGCAGAGGGGTATGAGAAATCTGTGCCTGTTTGGGTTGCAGAATTAGTAAGCTGCACTTTACTGACCTTCCACCATTCATGAGGCCCCCAGTCAAACTTCCTTTAAAATGCTGGCTTTAATCTGAGACCATCCTTTGGAAGTTGGTACAATTTACCCTTATTTTAAAGATGGGGAAATAGACTCAGAGATATTATATGACTTGCACAAGTCAAAGTCAACCTGCTTTTGATGTCCAGGCTGCTGGCCTTTTCCCCACACCATGCAGCAACACAGAAGAGTCTGGACAGTGTCTAAAATGTTTGTCTTGTTCAGCTTTTGCTTATGCAAAGGATTTCAACTCATTACTTCAGGGAGAAAGGAGTTTGTTATTGTAAATAAGTGCTTGTTTCTCCTCACAGTCCTTGTTCTCCTTCCTCATCCAGGTCAGCAGGTTTTCTGTACAGTCAGTATTTCATTTTGGATGACTGTGAATGTTTTCCTATATTCTTTGCTGTTCCTTTACAGGATTGTGAGATGGAAGCACAGGGTTGACACCTGTCCATTGCTACCATGAAGATATCTTTAAAACAAATATTGTTACCTGTTTGTGTGTGTGTGTGTTACTGTGTATGTGTGTTGCTGTGTATGTGTGTTCCTGTGTGTGTGCATGTGTACATGTGTATGTGCATGTGTGTATGCTTGTGTATGTGTGTGTATGTGTCTGTGTGTTTGTATATATACAAAGGCACACATCAAAGGACAACTTTCTGGGAATTAGTTCTTTCCTCCCATCCTGTAGGTACCAGAGACTGAATGCAGGACATCAGAATGCTGCAGGTACCTTTACCCAATGAATCATCTTGCTGGCCCTAAGCTATCTTTTGTTGTTTCAAATTTGGGTTATTCCTGGAAGAGATGATGGTACTGTAACATTTGGGATATTGAAACATTCCAGAACTTCAGAAAAAGACAACAATCATAATTGATCTGAAGGAAAATGGAAGTATACGTTGTGTCTATTACATGTGCAGTATGTGTTCCTGAAGCCATGGTACCTGATACCCACCTGCCCTAAGGCGAGGATTCAAAATACTGTTTAAACAATGCTTTGCATTACTGCATATCAAAGCTCTATTTTTCTTCTTCTCTCGGTTCTTCTATTGATCAAATAAACACTTATGGATCCCTTCTTGTCTTCTAAACCTGTTAAATATCCATTATCTGATGTCTGGGCCTCAGTTTTTCTTGAGTGTTTCATGTATGCTTAATAGAAAAAAATAGTAATTGAGAGCACAGATTGAATTAAATTCAGTATGATTTTCACTAATTATTGAAGACAAGTAAGTCAGTTTATGAAAATGTCATCTTTGGGAGAGGAGAGAGCAAGTCCTACTGAGCAAGATGAAATCTGTAATGGATTATAATCCAACAGGACAATGAATTAGCAGCAGAAATAGAATATTTCAAGTAGAAAGAGATTTAATACAGTGTTTGGGGTGTACTTTCCTGCTAAAGCTCTTCCCTTGAGATCTCAGACCCCAGGCATCCCCCTGCCTCCACCAACATCTCTGCTCTTCCTCCCCTTCAGCACAGTCTTGTGCTCACAAATCATACCTCAGACCATAGCATTCTGTGGCCCTCTGATTTTCTGCAGCACTGTGGTATTCACCCACAGCCTGGTCCTTTAGTTGCACATATGGCCTTGTTTGTGGGTTATTAGAAGTTTGGGTGCATCCTGCTTCTTATAGGTCACTGACCCGTTTCTTCAACTTTAAGGTCAATTCTTTCTATTTTTTAAACATCTTCTATAGCTTTTAATTTAATTGGGGAAAATATTTGAATTCTTGTCATTATGACCTGGGAGAAGAAACTAAAACATTAAAGATCATTGTTTGCCTGGTAAATGTTTATTCTCTTATAGTAAGAATATGGAGAAAATAAAAGATGTTGACAAAACAATCCCCAAAAGTTTAAAATATTTGAAGAAAATACATACATTAGCCTGAAACAAGTAGGCTCATTTCTCTTACATGGAAAGAAATGGAGAGATGTTTATATGTGGGGGTCCTCTTTCCCCTCTGGGCCTGTTGGCCACCAGGCCCAGAGTGTGAAAAGGAAGATAGGGTGACAGAAAGCTTTAGTGGCCCATGAGCACAACAGAGACAGCCCTCTGGGAGACAGATTTTGGTGAGTCAGCTCGATTTTATTCCAGAGTATAAGGAATATAAAGGATTGGGGAACCTGGGGACAAACCCTAATTTGCATAAAGTGGCACGCTCCTATCACAAGGCTTAGTCTGTGGCAGCAGGGTCCTATAGCAAAGTCCCTAGCACAAACCTTCTCAACAGGGATCTGAGTGAAAGGTCAAGCTAAAGATGAATCAGGCATCTGGTTTTAGAGAGTTTTTAGATAAGGTCAGTTCTCCAGGCCCAGGGACATTCTCCAGATAAGGGCAGGGAGAGCGGGAAGCTTTGCTTAGAGAGGGAGCTCCGTGTTGCCGAGCTATTAAGATAAGATGCCAGGCCATGGCAGACTGCGACTTCTCTACAGCCAACAATATCTCCAACATTTATAAACTTACCTTACAGTACACCAGTAAAGATGCTTATAAACATGTCTTCTAGTACACCTGTTCCCACTCTTTCAAGGACAGTATAAGAGTGACATTTCAATGACCTCAGGCTCTAAACTGCTCTCAGTTAGTACCATATAGACTTTGAATATTGAATAATTGCTTGATGTTCTCAGTGTGGGTTTTGGCTTAGGGTGAAGTGATGAGGGTGAAGTGATGAGGATCTTGGTTGTTGTTGTTGTTGTTGTTCTGATGTCTCAGTGCTGAAGCATATGGTCTCAGATGCTTAAATACATCCTTAAAAAAAGAAATACACACACACTCACACCTGATGAAAAAATTAGATGAAGCTGCTCTTATGCCATATCTCCCAATAAATTTCTTCCTCTGCTACAGGATCCTAATTGTAGTGTTCTGGAAAGAATTACAGGCCCTGAGTGTGTGCTCTGCATCACAGCTTCTAACTATATGAGTGAAAGATATGGTTCCCTTTCTAAAGATTGCTCATTTGTTACCCAGTATCCTGACTAGTCATCTGCTGTGACACTGGGGAGTCAGAGACGCATATACACAAGATCTATTCACTTGTGCACCATGCTGTCTAGTCAGTGAGCCTTGGTTAGCACATCTCTAGCACCCCCACGTGTTTACCCCCACGGCCCCCTCCCTTACAGACTGACATCACAGCC